GGGCAACAGGCATACATCTTCCCTGATGAGAAGGGAAGAAGGGGAGTTGTGGCAAGCCAAGAGTGATGCTCATCACAGAGGAAGCTGCCTGAGGAAGAGGCAGGAGCGCACATCTGGATGAGAGGTAAGGCCTGGGGCACTGCAATGGCTGGCAGCCCATCGCAACCAGGAGAGAGGAAAATCCTGAATACCTGTAGCACAGACTGCGAAGCCTGGGAAAGAGTCACTCTTGTCAGACAATTAGGAGTCCTTAGGTGAGACATGGAGAGGTGAGGTAACGGCTGACTGGAAAGCACGATGTAGAGCCATGAGAAGGCTGGAAACGCCACTGCCCGCAGGGAAGGAAAAGAAAGGACCCCTCACTCCCTCCTCTCTGCAGGAAGTTCAGTGTGAGGGCTTGGTGATCTGCAACAGAGGGACACTTGGGGACAGCTGCATTCTTCTTCTTCACAGGGGAGCTCAATGAAAGAGTATTGGCAAGTGGCTCACTCTTTCACATCACGCACTCACAGTCAATCCTTTATTAGCTTCTGTCACAAAATAGCCTAGTGATAAGGAGTCATGCTGCCAACCCAAAAGCAGATGGTTCGAATCCACCAGCTGTTTTGTAGAAGAAGGATGGGGAATCTCTCCCATGCCTTCTGCAACCTCTGGAATTGGTCTGGAGGGGCAGCTAGGAGTAGGTTCCAACTCGATAGCACATAACAATGGCATCAGAAGCGAAGGGGGGACAATCCTGCAAAAATCACGTCACCAGATTTTAACTGAGCCTCAGGTTTCCTGGTTGAGCTGTCAGAAAGGGGCTAACGGGCTCCTCTCCTTTGGTCTTGAGGTAAAGCAACCCCAATTACTGAGCTGAAATCATAAAATCAGAAGCTATAGTGTATACTGTCCTCATTAGACCCATTGTTCCAATGATTGAATTGGATCTACTACAGAGAACATCTATCTCTTCTCAGCGACCAGTCCTTACAACTACCTGAATCCTCAACTCTGGATGGAGGTGTAAACAAATTAAACATGCTTTCTCTGACATCTATGGTTCAGTGTCTAAAAACTGAATTATTCACATGTAACCATACTTTTGCCACCTTTGAATTATATACAGTGGGATAAAACTGGGCAATCTAATCCCGTGTGATTTACTGCCTATGAGAACTAGCGAAAGGGTCAGCTATGAGCTGGTTCTGGCTCAATGGCAAATAACAACAAAAGTTATATACAAGTATAAGAAACCCTCATATTCCCGGTATCACTATATATTTTCCAAGCTTAAGTTAAATAAGTTAAAATTCATATATAATGAAGAAGATGGAAAAAAATAGTTACATCTGGGTTAACTGAAGACATTTCACAAATATTTTTAGCACATTAGTTCTCAAAAGCTACTTCAATTACTGTATGTATCATTATTTACAATTTGCAGATGAAAAAAATTAAAGTAATACTAGGTGTCATGTCTAAAGTTATACTAACTAGTAGGAAGTAAAAGACCCAGCATTAAAACTGAAGCCCAGCACATCCCACACATACCCCTTACGTGACCAATCCTGCTACAGAACCCACTGAAGTCATAGTTTTATTTACCAAATGACCTACATAGTTGAGCAAGCTAAGAATGCAATCATCTAACAGGCAAGAGTTACAAGTCTCTTTAAAAAAGTAATGACTTGCTTTTTTCTTCATTATTAGCCATCTATACATTCTTCCATTTACTCCTTTCCAACACTGCATTCTCTATGTCCTGTAAACATTTCAGATCACAGCCAACCTCTCCCTCCACTAGAAAAAACATGGATAATGTGTCTCTTCCACACATACAAAACCACCCACACCTCCTAAGGTCAAAGTCACTCTTCTCTCTTCTTTTTCAGATCACCAGCTTAAAAAAGCACAATGTCATCATCTAACAAAACATGAGCCACACCAGAGAAGCTCTCAGACACTGCTTCCCCGGCAGATACAGACTGCTTTCCCAAGGCCCATCATTTGCCTCTCTTGTCTGTAAATTTTCTCTGCATCTTGAATTATTTGACTACCCTTTTAAACTCATTCCATCAACTGTTTGTGTTTTAGCCCAGCTTCTATCCTGAATCTTTTGCTGTGGATTGCTGTATTGAATTTTCAACATACAACATGCAAAAGATACATCTAAACTTACTTGCTTGTCACCTAAAACTGGCTAAAAATATCTTCTCTACTATCTCATGATATCCCATCAGAGAGCCACACACTTTCTCTCATAAAAATAACAGCAGCATCGGCCAGTGACTCTGTATACAGACACAGAGAATTTGAGAAACCTTAACAGGAGAAGGCTGGGCAATCTCCTCCCGTGAGATTAACTGCCTCTGAAAACCTGCTGGGGGGTCAGCTATGGGTCGGTCCTGACTTTATGGTACACAACAATAACAACAACAAGAAGACATGCATTTTTAGAATCTTAAACTGAGTTAAGGAATGAGTTGTGTATAATAACTTTTACAAAATATTATATAAAGATTACAAATAAGAAATGTTAAAAAAAAAATAAAGCTCAATTATTATGACATTTAAGGGACCTCCAGTAGCTTAGCGGTGAGGAATTGTGCTACCAGTTGAAAGGTGGTGGTGGCCGTGTTGCTGTTGCCTTCGAGTCGAGCACAACTCATTGCAACCCTATGAGCAAAAGGCCTGAAAGTCTCTCTACAACTATCGACATTTATCAAAAGTCCATAGAGTTTCTGGAGGGATGTTGTTTAGGAAGTGGATGCCACTCTTGCTTCCAGACCTAGAACAGAATGTTCCAGTTATAGAATGTTATTGGTCGAGTCACCTGCGATGCATAGCGACCCTCTGTACAGCAGCTCTAAACCCCTCCCTATCACGGTACAAATGCGCCAGGTGCTCCGAGGAGAACAACGGACAATCTCCTTCTATGTGACGTCCTGCTTTTCAAAGCTCCCTGGAAGGTCAGCTCTGCATCAGTTCTGACTTGACAGGACACAACCACCACAACTAGGCATGCATTTCTACAATCTTAAAATTGTGAAAGATGAGCTGCATATCACTTCTTAAAATATCATATGAAGATAATAAATAAATGTTAAAAAAATACACGGATTTATGAAATGCCCACTTTGCTTAGCAACTCTGCTCAAATCCAAATAAATCTGTGCGAGCATTTTAGCTGCCGTTTGAAAATTTTCATTCTCACAAATAACTGCTCAGGGCTTAGTGCTCAGTTGCATATTTCAGGTCTTTCTATTGATGAAAGATTGATCAGGTTGTTCAATATCCATCAAAAAGTAATGACAGTAAGAGCTGGATTCTTAGTTAAAATGTTGTTCGGTGACATCAGTCCACCATCCCTCAGAGAGGACCCTCACTCTGGTTGCTACTCTCTCTGTCATTTTTGCAAAGAAACACAAAAGCAACCAAGTGATGTGAGATGAAAGATGAGAGAAACTCAGCACATGCCACATAGAATACAGTTCAGTGTTGCCAACGAAAACAGAACGGCCAGCGGGGGAAGATTCAACTCCAAAACACACCCGCACTATCATTACACACTCTCTTTAGGACAGCAAAGTGTTCTAAATGGGCTGAAAAAAAAACCAAAACACAATCTACATCCCTAGAACCTTTCACCCACTCTACTTATTCCTACAACATAAGCAGCATTTATAAAACATAGATGCACAAAAGGAGAATAATATTTAATAATGAATATAACAAATAATTCCTTGAGATATGTGTGTGTGTTCACCAACAAGAATATATGTTAACCCTTACTAAACCTGCTCAAGTAGAAAAGAGAAAACCTGGGGAGTAAACAGCAGAGACTTCTGCTCAGTAATGCAGAGTTGCACCCACAAATAAATTCACCAATCTGGGGCACCTTCGTTCACCAGGAAGAGAAGCAGAGAACTGAGAAAGTAAGAAAGGACATTCAGACTTTGGGTTTGCCGTGATGCACCAGACTTAGAAAACCCAGTGATTCAAAAACTTAGTTAAACATCAAAGCGAGAAATTCAGGAAATCTTTAAAAATATTAACTAATCTAAACTTGTAGCAAGCGTGGAAGGAGGAGTGGCATCCACTTCCATAATAGCTTGCCTCCGGAAACCCTATGAACCTGGAGAGAGGATGAAAGGCATCCAAGCGTCTTCGAGGACTCTCCTTCTTAGGGTCGCTATGAGTCACCTGCGACTCAACAACAACAACAACAAACAAACTTGTAGCAGACTGAGGCTGGGACTGGTATACGAGGAAAGTGGAGGAAAGGCCAAGCTCTCTGGACGTGCCCCCTCCACAGTCAGCTCTGAGTTACCCAATGGAAGCACCAAACATCCAGACAGAAGGAAACTGAAAAGTAAACACGATGTAGCTCCCACTGGCCACCGAGCCAACACATTAATGGTAACTGCACCACAAACTGCCCACAATTAGTCTAAGACGGCTTCTAACAGACTTCTGCTCACATTCACTTTTAGTTCAAATAGAAAAAAAGAAAAAAAAAGAAAGGGGGAAAAGGGACACATCAAAAGCAAAGGTCTCTCTAAACATAACCACTTTCAAAAGTGCCCTTGAATGTTCTACACTGGCTCAGAAATTTCCCTTTGTAATCTTGAAAGTTCAGGAATCAGGGAAGGACACGTGAGTACCCAGTTAGGATGGATTTCATTTATGCGGCACCCACAAACAAGGAGAAGCTAAAACCCCACGCTGCTGCAAGAGAGAAGTCATCTCTATCTATCAGTGATGCTCCTGGAGGCTTGACCATCACGGTACACAGGCACCTGCAGGATCCGCACCGTCTCCAGAAACAAAGGCATCCCAGGCTACCTCATACCTTCACTCTGCTGGATCATTTCCTGAGAACGACTGCACAGTGGCAAATGCTACGTGTAAGAGTGACAGTCCTGTGCTGTCTGCCTCCAAAGCAATAATTAGCAGTTCTCCACGTGGCCGCAAACATTGACCGTGACCATGTGCACCGTGGAACGTGAACGCCCTACCTTTCCCACGTAGAGGGGGTCGGAGCCCATGTACTCCTCCAACACGAAGAACTGATTCCACACCCAGCTGCGCTTGGTCCGGGACCGCCCTGCCTGGAAATAGGGCTTCGAGCTGGGCCTGGAGAGCTCGGCCTGACTCGTTCCACAGAGACACAGTAAGAGGGCGAGGAGCTGCAGAAAGTGGCAGAACTCCACTTTGCCCACCTTCATCTTCTGTTTCCTTTGCTTTTTCCTGTGTAAGAGAAAAACCTTGACAAGGGAAAAGGCAGGTACAGTTGGTGCAGGGCAGCTCTAGCCTCCGGCAGGGTGTCAGCTGGGTGTCCAGAGATGATAATTCGCAGGGTGTTCGATGGGACAAGGTCACTGGTGCCGAGAAGCGTCGCCCAAGTCCAGCGCCACAGGCACCTAGCAGGGCAAAGACAAGAGCTCACGTCAAAAGCACACGCAGAATAACGTCCTGTCATTCACCAGCTCCAGGCTGGGTTGCCCATGATACACCATTATTTGCATAACCATGAAAATATCAACGATATTCTGGGATAGAAAATGACAATGATGTCATATTTGTAAATCATATCAAATATTGCTGGCGCAGAATTCTCCTCACCCCACACTGCGACTTTACGATTTTGCCTTTCTTCTTAGACTGTTTCATTTTAGCACATGATTTACTGAGCATGAGCACAGGATTTTTTGGAATTCTTTTAATGCTACCTTTTCCCCCTCCTTCTTCCTCTTCTTTCATACTGTACCCAGTCCTACTCGTTATTAGATTAGGAAAGCAAAGCTGGCCAGTGCAGATATTTAACCAAATGAGACGGCCCTATGCAGATTCAAACCTCTACTGTGAACCCAAGAAAAGAAAAAAGTAGTACGAGGTGATTTGAGGCTGGCTGAGTCAGCCTGAGTCACAGGCCACCAGCTGCTTTCATGTATTCGAATGTGACTGTGATCAGCTTAAAAGCTTCCAGGGTTCTTTTCTCCACCCTTCACATTCATGATGAGGATGGTGTGTAGCGTGTGAGGCTACGTTCCCACTGCGGCTACTGGCCTGACCACCGTGCAATACGCTTCGCCTCATTCATAGTCGTCGTTGCTGGGGATGTCACGTCGAGTACGCCTCAGTGACCCTGTGGGCAACAGATCTCAACTCTGCCCCATCCTGTGCCATCTGCATCATCCCTGACACCCCTGAGCCCACTGCTGCATCACCACGTCCACTGACCTCACTGGGGGCTTCCTCTCTTTTGCTGACCCTCCAGCTTTTCAGTATGATGTCATATGTAGCAGGATCCTCATGAAATGAATGCAAGAGCCATAAACTGCTCCAGAGGAGGGCGAAGACCCAGCTACACGCATGAGCTGAGGTCACTGCTAACATCCAACTAGGAGGATCTGGACGTCTTTTCGTGTAATATCCATTTACTCCAGTTACTGAACACTCATTATGCAAGAGAGATAAAATCAGCTGCAAAATTAAACTCCCAAACAGACCCCAAAACACAGAGGAAAGAGAATTTATGACAGAATGTTCACTTAAATCACTATGCTGCACTTCGGTTTATGAATTCATTGTACTAGCTATAAATAAATCAACAATAGAATAATTAAGGAGAAAAATTACCATTTGCTGCTTCTTGGGGTTTTGGGGGGTGGGGTGTAGGCAGAGAAAGAAAAACGCCAACACTTTTAAGATGAAGCCAAAGGATACATTTTCGGCAACTGCGTCTGCACCCTGTCCTCACAGTGTAGGACCCCCATTTTCTCATCTGTTTCTCATTAAACAACGATTGGCTACTCATTAGACACCACTGCTGACAATCCAACAGCTTCCAGAAAAGGACTAAATAGTGTGTTAGAAATATAAAAGTTAAAAAAAAAATTGTATTCAGAAAGATACAGCTACAGACTCAAGTTGACAGCTCTCTGAGTATCTGAACTTATCGTGACTGTTGGGGGGGTGTTGTTGGGTTCCGTCGAATTGGAACCAGAGCGTAGACGACCCTCCCACAGGGTGTCAGAGGCAGTTAATCACACAGGAGAGTGCTCATCTTTCTCCCATGTAGCAACTGGTGGATTTAAACCACATGCCTTTGGGCTGTCAGGACACTTTCTTACCACTAAGCCAGCCAAGCTCCCTTATCATGACCGTACAGGACAGAGTAAATCAGCCCTCCAGCGTCTCCACGGATGACACATTACATCAGAGAGTACCTTAGCTTTCTCCCATGAGCATCTGGTGGGTTAGAACAGCTGTCTTTTCGGTCAGCAATCTGAAGCTTAGCCCACACATGACAGGAAGATGCAGGTGACCTCACATGGCTCAAAGTAACACTCAGTTCCACAGGATTCTCGGGGTCTCATTTCTGGAAGATTACCAAGCATTTTCTCTCCTGCACCCCTAACAGACTCAAACCTCTAACTCTGCAATCAGCAACTGAGGGTGTTAACCATTCAGGTTACCCAGAAACAGGCAACGTCTGTGTATTCAGACCAAATAAATATTCAAATTCTGGGTCCTTCATTTCTTACCGACCCATTCTTGGAGTCTGATAGACTCATTGCTGTTGAGTTGGAACTTGGTGATAACTGACGCCCCAGCAGAGGTCTGTGGAACCTCTTAAAGGAGGAGATTGTCCATCTTTCTCTTACAGCTGGTGGATTCGAGCTGCCAGAAAGACTGAACTTCGGGCTGGTAGCACAGGCCCTAAGCACTAGGTTACCAGAGCTACGCTATAGTCATTTATTAAACTTATTTAAATTCAAAGAAGTTTCAAAACGATGCCTCAAAACCCTTAAAGTAAAAATGGTAACAACCACCAAAGGAACTAGCAGGTTTACCCTGAAGCAGGTGAAGCCAAGCTGCACCTTGGAGGCAAGAATTTTGAGGCTCGGTCTCACATATTTAGTGCATGTTGGCCAGGAGGGACCAGCCCTTGGAGAAGGATATCATGCTTGGAAGGGTGGAGGGACAGCACAGGAGAAGAAGACCCCAGATAAGATGGTTTGATACAGCAACTGGGGTAATGAGAGTAGGTGTGTCAGAGTCATTGAGATTGGCCCAGGAGATAGCAGAGCTCAGAGCTATTGTGCACAGGGTCACTATGAGTTGTGGTTGACTCAGCAGCACATAGCAACAACAACATGCTTCTAATGGATAGGTTTCAGTGAGCTCTGGTGACATAGTCCATATGTGGTTTCACTGTTAACCCAAAGCCTGCACTTTTCCAGTGGTTTGAATCCACCAGTCTCTGCAGAAGAAAGATAAGTAATCTTGTTCTTTGTGTTCTGTAGCCTTTGAACCCCAATGAAGGTCAGCTATGACTCTGTTTCAATTTTCACTTGCTGGCTTAAATGAGTTTATTATGAAAGCTATGGATAGTGTCTGATACATATGCTCATTAAAAAATACATATATAAATTTATCCTTATCTAAAAAGTATTAAAAAAATTACACACAAAACAAAGAAAGTAAGTCACATTGTTGGGATTCTTTTTAATTTTATGAGATAACTAAATTTGAAACAAACTATGGTAAAGTGAGAGTCTGTTTATGAAGTAATGCTAGTTTTTGCTTTAATGCTATTTATAGTAAAATGTTTCAGGCATTTCTTACACTAAATGAAACATTCTTAGTAGCAGGAACCAGAGAACTCTACAAATCAGGAATCAAAATGTCTAGATGGAAATGAACAATGGCTCCAAAATAATATAATTTTTATAAAGAAGATAAATTTTAAAACAAACAAAACAAAAAACAGGTAATAATTTATTGTGATATATATTGTTGTTGTTGTTGTTGTT